GTCAAGTGCACATAGTAGACTCACACGATCAGCATATGAACTGCTGGAGAATAAGGAAGTAGTAGTAGGATTTCCTCATCTGCACAGATTATTAGAGAGAACCCCATATAACCAGTCTTTTTCTCTCTTCATCTTTGGAGAGCCATTTTTCCACAATTTGATGCTCATGAACAGCTATATACTTTTAGATTTGACAGACTTGGATCCCAGAGGCTGAAAAAAAGCTGCTACAAAGGATGACTATTGGAATGAAGCGATACTCATACACACACGTATATATACATACATTTAAAAAAGCAGATTATTGTCTGCAAATTCCCAAATATTAAGGGCTATTTTGGCTGGATTCATTTACATTCACCTGTTTCAATCAGAGAAGAGTACCTAAAAATAATTTGTTCAAGATGGTGTGTCTTTCTAGCACAATCCAGATCAGACTTAACACAATAGTGTCGTTTTGTGCTCAGCAAGTTAGCAGAACAGAAGTGCAAAGACCCTTCTGGTGATTTTTCTTGTTCTGGGTTCCTAATACAAGAAACAGCATAGAATTCCACATTTAAGTAAAAAGAAATTATTTTCCAATATCTTGGCTCAGTAGATGTATCCTATCATTGTTTACTGGCAGGCATAGCACATAAATATGTTAAACTGTCTTACCAGCTCAAAGGAAACTTCACTTTTCGTTCTGCTTCTGTCCCTTGATAGTTTAGGCTGTGTGGTTTGATGATCAGGCAGTAGCAGCAGTGGCATAATAAAGCAGAGCTTACTGTGCCTGATTTTAAAGATAATCTCAAGAACCAATAAAAAACTGCTCAGATTATCAGATTGAGGTAAAGTAGCTGCATCTGCAATTACTCATTAGTGATGGAGAAACTGAGGAATTTCTGTTAAAGGGTTAACATTTAAAAGGCCAAGTAATTTGCTGAATATAAAAGTACCTTCTTGCAACATTTGTATAAAAAAAGGCCAACAGAAGAGCTCTCTAAGTGACCTAAAGCTGTTTCTTAGCCCTGTCTAGATGTGAGATGAGACTGCTTCCATCCAAGGCCTCTGCCCAACTGTGCTCAGATGCCTGAGGCATCCCTGAGCTGCCTATCCTGTACCTCTTCCATAGTGTCTTGCTGCACTATACTCAAAGGGGCAACTCTGGAAGCAAAGGCAAACAAGCATTGCAGTGCTTCCATGTCCAAATCCTAGAGTGTATAAGGAACAGATCTTTCCATACCCAGCTGCAATGCTGCAGTGGTAGCGTTACAGCCAGGATCCATCAAGTCAGTCATGTACATGGGTCTAGTGCCAGAGAAGGGGAAGAGAGAAGCAGGCAAAGCACAGACTGAATAACAGTCTGCTAGTGTTAGCTTTAGGGGCCAAGAGACAAGGAAGCAGGGGCCGTGCAGAAATGGAGACAGACGTTTCCAAATGGGTACTACGGGTTGAGTTACGGTGCTTCTCTCAATAACTGCTTTTGGGCCTTCCCCATCCAATAGGGCTCTGCCAGCTCCCAAGAGGCCGACGGTTACCCATCTAAATGTATATTACGCTTTTTACAGTTACAACAATCCTGAACAGGAGCAGAAACAGAAAGCCCCTAAAAATGCAAGCAGCCTTCAGCATGTCATTTAAGCAAGTAACACCCTCAGAACTGTCCAGATGCCTGGAGTTCACCTGCTGCAGCAGAAAACATCTTGTCTCCTGTAGAGACGAATTGTACCCCTGCATCTTCCCAGCCTACTGCTGCAGGTCACCATAAAGATGCTACACCCGTGTAAGACCCACAGCTTTTACCATATTCTGCCTACATGGCCAAACAGAAAAATTGGTACAGGAGTGCAGCAGCAATTTGGCTCAAACAGCAAAGCACAAACTTCTTTTCCTGGTTTCCTTTCCTGTTACTATTCCACAATACAGAGCAGCGTTTTTGACAAGAACATCACACCTCTCTACGAGTTACCTTTTTTCATACTTCCCCCATATCCCAAGTGCCACTCAGCCCAAAGACCACTAACTGAACTCCTGCTCTCTAAAGGTCCCTCAGATCCTTGTTTCATGTTTTCTAGGACCCATTTACACCTGTCCCACAAGTAGCTTTCATCAGGTGAACAGTGTTTCTCACCAGGTGATTTGTTTCAAGTTGCATCTACCTTGAAGTTCTTTTTTGTTTGTTTGTTTTTGTTCAAAGTGCTCCATTTGGATAGACATCCACTGTTTGCCTACTGTGAACCCAGTACCAAATGCATATGTTTTGCTATCTCCTCTGGTTTTGGATCACTATAGAGGCAAACGTAGTAAACAGGAGAAGCACCACATTACAGTGGAAGCTACAGGGACATGCAACACTTGCTCTATCTGTGCTGCAGTCCTTGGCTTCTGCAGTAATGCACATTTTTGAGCCTGAGGTAGCCTCAGATAAACTGGGATTTCTGTATCTACCTGGTTCTATGCTTGGCTAGTGAACACATTGCTAGTCTATCAGAGCAGATGGTCAGTACTATAGTCCAGGACCACTTCTGTACGCCAAGCATACTGTCACTCAAGAATCTGTGAGATTTGACCTCCCTTCTATCCTCTGCTCATCAAGTCACCCAGTAAAAGGACACTGTTCTGGTCAGTGCAATATCTTAAGTCTGCTATCATGTCCCTGATGGTTGTGAATACTGTGCAAAGTGCAGCAGACCACAGCCATCTAAGGGCTTTGTCTACATGGATGGTGTTGCTGGCATCTTCTTACTACCTCATCTCACTGCTCAGTGCATGACTAACCTCACCTTTGCAAGGTAGGCTAAGGTTAGATCACCCGGTTACCTGAGCTTGGCAGGAGTGGCTAAGCAGATTCCCCTGCCGTGAAGGGCTTAGGCAGCCTATCACAAACTCTATTCTTTTAAGCAGGCCTGCTTGGCCAAGCACTTAAATGTCAAATGCCTTTACCACACTATTATCGTAACTCTTTCCTGTGTTTCACCCTGCTGTTCAGGAATCTGCCACTGTGGGTTACTGAGGTCACAGAAGGGTGGAGTGAGACCTTTTAGAGGCAGCTTGTTTGAGAGCAGGGGAGGCCTCCCAAAAACTAACAAAACTTGGACTTGCAATTCTAACAATGGTCCTGGCGTTCCTGGGGAAACACAGTTTTTCCAAATTAGATATTGCTAGGTCAGGGACATTTGCAGTTTGCTGCTAGGAGCCACAGAAGAAAAAAACCAAACCCACCTCAAAACCCTCTACATCCACGGTGTCAACAACTCATTGGCCAAAAGCTTAGTTGTTACAGCTTACTTCAAAGGGAACAGTCTCCCTTATTTTAATAACCTTATGCTGCATATCAAAGCAAGCTCTTCTCTGCCCATGAAGTCTGCCTCCTAGGGTGACCAGAGGCAACTTCTAGCCCAACACAGCACCAAACCACCACCTTCTCCAGATGTGCAGCTAGATAGCATACCAGTAACAGAAACAGCTCCTTCAGCAGTTCTGGGGCCAGTGATGCTAACAGAAACAAGAAGCGCGATAAACCGAGATGTGAAGGGGCCCTAGAAAGATAGGCAAGTTTCCCCTCCTCCCTTAAGCAGCCTGGGCCAGTTTCCACCATGTAGTTTCTGAAGGTTAAATAGCTGCAGGACGAAGCTGCAGAAGACTGTGTTACAGGCCATCGGCGATGCTTCTGCCCAGTACACATTCGCATAGACGTAAGCACGATGCAAGCAGACCTTGTAGCCCAGTGCGGGGCGGGCTCAGCTCAACAAGGTAGTGGAGCGAGCTCGATCCTCTGCTTCCTCATGGAGGGCATGCAGGGTACTTGCAGCACAGCAGGGAGGCTGCATAAGCACACAGAGACAATACCTCCCACGACTTATCACAGAAGATGACAAGAAAAATGGAAAATAAGAAGGGAAGGAACCAAAAAAAGTGGTATCTTGGAGCAGTGCCCAGGAAGCCGCCGAGTTAGGGGTATATTAAGGGGGTAATAACAACATGGGCAGAGCTAAGCCCTGTAGGTTCAAAAGCAACATAGTAGAGACCTTGGCTGTTCTAAACAATCAAACCAGGGATGTGGATGCATAGAAAAACTCTCCCAGCACTCACCTGTGAAAGAAACAGCTTCTCTTCATTATAGTGCTCCCTCTTGTTTAGGGGGCTGTGGGGTTGGCTAAAGTCTTGGGTAAGAGATGGGGGAGAAGGAAGAGAGTTTATTGGTATCACAGCAACAACAGATTATTACCACACTGGAAACATACACCATACACCATAAAGGTTCTCTCATTATAAGATCTTCTGGAGCCAAGCAGCCCAGGGGTTAGTAGCACTATGCCTACACAAGATGTAGGTCTCCACATTCAATATCAGTATTACAGTAACTTTTAAAGACAATTATCCTAAAAAACCCAGAGATACAGAGATGTCAGATGGAAACATATTCACAGTTACAGTGTAAATAGCAGTTTCATGGCTGTCTTTATTCACTAGCAGAAATTGCTCAGACTTTGTGCTACTGACCCGTTAACTGCAGCAGACCAGGTCCAAGGCAGAAGATGGAGTTGCAGGCACATCCAGGTAGGACATTTCTGAAATTTTTACAAACGATTACAGCTGGGTTTAAAGAGCCAAAAATATTAGTAGGAACAATAACATCATCTGTGTTGTTTGGAAAGGGTAGGGGAACTTTAATGTAACAAACACACTTGCCATGGGTTATGCTTGCAAGATTCCTTGTACATCCAAACTCTCAAATCATGTGAGAATACCAGGGAAAATAATTTCAAGTTTTGTACTTTTCATAAGGTTACTGTTAAAAAAATTTACACGTATACATAAGCTAAAAGGTACAGTTGCTTTTTCTGCCATTATAAGGGGGTTTGACCTAGGATTCTTAAAAAAAAAAGGAAAAAATCAATCATATCCAGTTTGAGACATTAACAAGATAAGTGGCAATAGAAATAGGCATATATTTCTACAGACCTAACAGTTTTCAGTTTTGTGCAATAGAGCTTACGCAAAGTATACTTTGTTTCTCTTCTGAATTTTGCTAAGGCTTTGCTCCTGGCACTGTATGGAAAAGGCCCTACGCTCTGCGAGGCAACAGCAGGTCCTTAGTTTGTCTGTGTCCCAATGACAGGGCCATCAGAGCGACAGGAGACCCACTGCTTGACGTAGCTCCGTGGAAAGTCCTCCTGCTCAAGAGGGATGGACCCACAGTTGGTCTGACTGTTTTGCTCAAATTCACAGTCAACTGGACTCCCACAGTCTGAGTCCACAAAGCCACTGTCGATAGTGTCCAAGTCTACGCAGATCATAGGGTAACTGTCACCAGGCCTTGCAATGTGAGGGAAGAAGTCATAGGAGCCTTCACTGTAGGAAACACTTTCACCATCAGGAGAAGGTAGAGAACCTGGATTTTCCAAATCCCACTGATTAGGCTGCAAGCAAAGGGCTTCTAGGATGCTCCCCATCCCTCCTTCTAAAGCCCTTTCTACTTGCTGGTGGGCTGGGACACTTGTACTCCTCAGGTGGTCTGTGGACACAGAGCCTGAAGCAAGTATTTTGTCCTGCGTGCTCAGATCAGCCAGATGCAAGTCATTGGATAGCTTTCCATCTTCATCATCAACGTTAACCTTGGGGTAACCAGTTTCTCCAGCACTACTATCTTCCTCGATGGTATGCTCGTGTCCCCTGTACACACGGTTACAGTTGCACTGGCAGTTACAAGGTGTAAATTCATCAGCCACAGTCACAGTATCAATGGACAAATGCCCATATGACCGGTCCTGAGTCCCACTGCTGCTGTTCACACTAGACAGCAGAGACTGGCTATCCTGACCTGGGGCAGTCAGGCAAGACACACAGGGCCTGCAAGGCAGATCTTTTCTCAGCTCACGCAGCTCTTCCCGTGAGGTGCTGTTGGAAGGATGCATGGTGTAAACTTCTAGGACTTCTGGAAGGACTATTCCCCATTCAAATAAATCAAAGGTCATTTTCTTATGGGATGCACCAACCCACTTCTGCATAAAAGGACATATGGGGGCAAGGGGGGTGGGGAAGGAGAGAGAGAGGTTAGTATCGTCAGGTTTGAGGTTCCACAGAAATGACCAAAGTTCTTATGCTTTTAGAGGCAAAGTCAAACTCCAAAATCACTGACTCCTCCAAAATAGCAGGGTATGAGATGCTGTTATTACCACACACAGGCAGCTGCAGGCAAACTGACTCAAGTAGTTGAAAATAATTAGCTGAGAGGTTTGCACGACTTTGCAGTGTTCTCTGTGCTGCAAAGTATACCACTGCCCATAGCAGCATTCCTTTCTGCATCAGCCAGAGGTCCAAACCAAAGCCACCAAGTCTCCCCTGCCCTCTTGTCCTGGACACCGCTTCTCTCAGGAAGGATGGTCAGCCTCTCCCTCTATGTGCTGCATTTGCATCCAACACACACATAGTCCTGCTCTGTCACTTTCCTCACCTCAGTTCCCTGAGAAGGGGGTCAGGGCAAGGCTTCTCCCAGTCTCCTGTATGCAACCATGCCCCAGATGAGCCTTTCCTATCACAGTGAGAAGGAAGCAGGGGTAGGCAGGGAATGAGGACTTCAAAGAGCTGTAGCCACCACCTGCTAACACTTACTCAGATGATTAGGGAGTGCCACACATTGAATCTTGCACTTCTATATCACCATTAGTATTACATTCTGCCCTGTGCCATGCATTATCCTCTAGATCACAAGCCCCTTGCATTTAGTCACATCTGGGAATAAAGGCACCTCTGGTTTCTCTGATCTAAGAACAGAGTAAAAGTTTGTTCTTTTTGAAGAAGTCACTGAATCAGACACTCATATCACAGCAAACTTTAGGCATGTGCCACTAGTGAATGCCAATAAGTCCTACTAGAGGATTCCGCAGTCCAGAGGGTGGGCACAGTACAGACTCAAGATTTGGTTCTGCTCCATCTGACACTTGCCTGATGGCTGAGCTGTGTCAAGGCTCTTCTAAGTGCACCGCTTTCTGCTGTGTATAAAATAGGTAACAATGCTGAGCTTCATAAACACTGTGAGGGGTTCTGACAGAGTGCTGCATGAGAGCTGGGTGTTGCCACAGCCTTCAGATTGCCTTAACTGTATCAGACTCCTGTCCCAAACTGCACTCACTGTAAATAGACATGAGCAAAGTATTTGGGAAGAGAACAGCTTGACACAACGTATTACCCTCTGACACAGAGCATGGAAAAGTCTTCATTATGGCAGGAAGCACCACTATTTTAATTTATTTTTAACCTAAGCTACAAAGAACTAATTAAAGCTGTAATGGACAGAAAGGCACCTCAGGTGCAAAAGGCTATTTGAAGAAACAGCAGGAAATCTCTTTCTTAGAATTAAGCAGGCAGAATATTTCCTGTTCCCTCTTGACAGTTCTTTGCAAATTCCCACCCAACATGAACCAGAAGACCCATGTACACACAAGAGTAAACAATGTTCCTCTGCTTTCCCTTCTCATGTCTCAACTTTGCCTCTAACATTTTCACTGCTTCCTACTCAATCCAGGACTGTTGTCTGCAGAGCATTACTATTGTAATTTGCTGATCATTATTCACACACATAACCTAGCCACTTGCTTTGATGCAAGCAGGATGCAACTGAATGAGCCCTACATCAATTGGTTTCTTGCCAGCCAAAAATGACGAGTCTGTTCACCTATTAGTGATGTCACCACATCCTCTTGACACCCCCTGCTTGTGCATGTTTTTCTGTGGCTGCGCGGGCAACTGCTGCTTTAATCTGCAAATTTATTAAGAACTCACTCAGCTTTAGCAACTGACACTCATTCCCTTCCCAGCAGCACTGAACAGCCTAACTAGAAGCTACTGAGAATGTAATTCCCACAGAACAGAGAACCCCATGGCTTCACCCGGAGAGGAGCATGCCTCTTGGCATGCAGGGTGCTTTCCCTTCTGCTGTGAGGACTAGCCCATGACTCTCAGGAATTCCCACACTGAGTCCACCTGGTCCTGGTTCCTTTCCCTGAGAGAAACCAGGGCCACCTGCCTCACAAGAGGATGCAAGTACCCCTCTGGTGCGGATACAGGAAGCCATAATAGGGCTGAAAGAGGAAGGCAGGAAGGGAGACAGTCACTGCAGGCTTCAGCTAGAACAGCACCCATCCAAGACTACTTGCTTAACCTAATTGCAAACATCAGCTTTGCAGCAGTGGGAAAGTACATGAAGATCAGTAGGCCCCAGCTGGTGTCCCTCTCCCAGAGGGTCTAAGAAAAAGCAGAAACAAAAAGCAGACACTGAAGTGTCTCCAATCAGTGCTGCTGTAACAACAGGAACTTGTTCAGAAAGAGGCAGTGATGTCTGCACTCACATGCCAGCAATTTTACAGTATGATAACGGCATTGTGAGTTGCTCTTCAGCTTAATACAATGATTATTTATGGATGCTCAATAGTCTTTTACTTTTGTATCCTGAGAACTCCAGCAAACTTTGCCATCTTCGCAAATCATTTTGTTACATGAGCAAATTTGACTGGTGTTAAATGGGAAGAGAATTTGGGAGGGCTAGGTAAAGTTACTCAAAGCCACTTCCTTCATAGTGAGGCAGCTGCACTGTACTACCACACAGCAGTTATTTGCCACCAAAACTCTAGCCACCTTTCCAGGATGATACACCTAGCTATCGTCTGTATGAGTGACTCTTCAGAGAGAACTACAAGGCTTAATGTTGAGCTCATGTCACTGCAGAGGCTGGAGTGAGAGATCTGGCTCTACACTGAAGTCTGCTCCATGGCCTTGATGGCAGCATGGGACTGGAGCTTTAGAAAAATCCCAGTTATTGTCCTGGTATCCCTTTGTCCACTCCCTCCAGGTTCCCAGGCTTCACAGATCACACATGAGCTCAGCTTGCCCACTGAGACAGCACCTACAGGGAATAAGCAGCACAAACATGACAAATGCCTTTGTGGCACAGAATAGACACTGGAGAGCTCTGGTCCTTATATCTGGAGCCATTTGGCATTCCATTGAGATAGATTCCCCCTCCCACTGCCCTGATGAGAATCCCTTGCCCAGGATAGCATGATGGACTGTTTAGTTTAACTTTGTCATATGTTCCACTCGCTTGTGTAGCCATTTATACCTTGAAATCTCCATTATGCACCAGGTAAAGAGGTTTGAAAAAGGCAGCAGGGTCTGGGATGCAAGCCATCTTCTTCCACAAGCTGGAAGAGAAAAGAGAAAGGCTTTAGGGTTAAGCACACATCACAGATGCAAAGCAATGCATCTCCAGATCCAATTCAAGCAGCTGAAACCACCTGCCCAGCCTCACAAGTTAGCAAGTGACTGAGGATCCAAGAATGCCTTGCACTGTCAGAGCCGTCTAATGGCCTTTCTTGTGAGCCTCACAGGAGGTGGGGCCTCAGCCCTCAGGACTTGTGTGCACAATACTCACACTAAGGAAAGAGGTTCCAATTTTTTCCTTTCTGGAAAAGCACCAAGTGCTGGAAATGCTTTTTCCCCTCAAGTTGCGCTGGCTCATGGCCTGCACCTACAGGCTAGAACTCTGCCCTATGCACTTTTTCTGTGGCCATGGGCTGTGCCAGCCCTGTTGCTGCACCAGCCCAGCACCCTCCTCTGTGGCAGCATGCACCCCATTCCTTTACAGGGGCATGTAAAACTCAAAAAAGGAAAGAGGCCCCCAGATCTCATTGAGGGGCCTGCATCAGCTTTGGCAAGGGGCAGCCCAGCCCTGGCTACTGCTCCCATCTGGCAACCACAGAGCACAGACAGGACCAGGAGAACAGCCCAGGAGGCTGCGTGGCCCCTGCTCAGTCCCCATATGCCATTGTCTTGTCCAAACCAGCTGAATGGGAGCAGAGCCCCAGAGAAAACAAGGCGCTCTTGGCAGTACACCAGCTGGAGGCCATAGTTTGCTGGCCCTCACAGGTCCATAGCTGTATCCATGAATGGATATACAAGATGCAAAGAAGGCTGCATGTGAACACCCCATCTTTAGTGAGACAGAATAGGTGCATTTACTCCAGCTTCCTGAAGCATTCTTACCTCCGCTGTTTGGCCAGAAAGGTTGTGATTGAGGCAGTGATGGCCACGACAACACCAAACAGCAGCAGCCATCCCATGCCTGCTGTTTGTGTCACTGCTGGAGAAAGAGACAGAGTCATTCACGCTCACCTTGCATTTCTACCCTGGTCAATAAGCAGGAGATGGTGAGGAGACACCCTCAATTTCTACCCCAGACTTTCTTAGGGACACTGAGGCTGTCACCTGAGGCCCAGCACTCCAGACATGAGGTCTGAATGAGGATGCTCAGAGAATACTGCATCAATGAAAGGAGCAATGCATCAGCTGCCCTATGGCCTAGGTGCACCACAGACTGACAGCCAACATGCTTGGGGCAGGACAGCTCCCTGCTACAAAGACCCCTGCTGTTTGTGACTTCTCCTGGTTTAAGAACACCTCCACAGATGATCCATGAAGTGAAAACAGAGTGCAGCTGGCCAGAGACATGTGAAGAAAAGGTGTTGACTGTATGAGTGTTTGTTGGCTGCTCTCCACCTGTGATAGAAAGGAGCACCTTTGAGACCCAGAACTCGGATAACCCTTAGCAAACAGATCCTGACTCTGCTGCCACAGCACCATGTAATGCTTCAGTTCAAGCTGCAGATCAGTGAGAGGAGGGGAGCTCAGTACATGCTGCTGACAACACAGTCATCCTGCCCTGCTCTATTTGAACAAGACTCCCTATTTGCATAGCCTCTGTTGCACCACGACAAGCACCAGTGTACTTCTGTGCATACCTTACTGTGCACTGAGAGTAGTGGCTACCAAACAAAACACCCATGCCCAGCATGGCCAAACATCAGAGTCCAGACATAGAACATCCCTGAGAGAAGGATCCATTCTCCTCTCAGCTGAAGGCAATACTAAGCCCCAGTAGTGGAGGCATCTCTACTAGATCTCCCCCACTTCTGAAAGCTGCAAGCAGGACCCTGGACATTTGACACTGGAAAAGAAGCTAGAGGCTGCACTCCTGCTGTGGCACCCAAACCTACAGCCAGCCCCAACAAACCCTTTCTCCATGGGCCATGCTGTAAGGTGGGCTTTGCACAACCATGAGAAGGTCAATACAGACAGCACATATCAGCCCAGGCCTGGGGTTCATGTACTCAGTAAGCAAGCCAAACATGCCTGTCTTTACTAGTCTTTTTAGAATTTGATCCAATTAATTAGATTTGATTAGAATTCTGGAAGCATTCTCTGACACTGGAGCAACTGGAAGGGCAAGGAGAGCTGGTAGTGTGTACCAGCAGGGCTGGTTTTCAACATCAGCGGAGGACTCCATTCACTCCAAAATCCATGGTAGCCAGTGTCTTCTCGAGGTCTGGCTCTCACTTGGAACTCATACTCAGTGTTCATCTGGAGTTCCCGTGGCGGGATCACCAGTGTCCGTTTATCTTCATGGACGACATCTTTAGTCTTCTGAGTCTGTGAACGATTAAACACCAAACACTCAGGCCTGGACAGAACTGCTCCCACCTTACCCTCACTGATGCACAGTGAGGAGCCCTGCAAAGTAAATCTCCTCTGCTTTCATGTTGTTTCCATAAGGCCATGCTCTGACTGGCCAGTAGATGCATGGGGCCCTGGGGGATCCTTCCATGCAGGACAGCATGAGAAGCAAATGAACTATCAGCCTTCCCCACAGGTCTAGTACTTCTCAAACAGCTTCTGCTTCTCAATTCTTTTTTCAGTTCTGCCTCTTTTCAGTCCAGACAAGCAAAGAGACACTTTTTCTAAACCATGAAAACCCTCCGTCCACACCATCACTCCTGTTCTGGTCATGCTGGCCTCCTCTTTGCTGGTACATGCTAGTTAATAGTAAACTGACATCTGACTTACCTCCCAAGTGTCGGTCCTTCTCTTATAACGCAGCTGATATTCCAACTCCTCATTCAAAAAGTAAAAAGGAGAGTTCTGGTAGATGGTTTCCCAGGAAATATTGTAACCCTCTGAGAACACAGCAGTCAGATTGAACGGAGGCTGTGGTTTGACTGGAAGACAGGATGGTGTTACCCTTCATAACATTACTGCAGACAAGAGGTGGCCCAGCATGGTATAAGTAATGCAGAGTGAGTAGGGAGCAAAACTGCCCCGGTAGGGGTGAGCCCTCCTACACAGGACATAATCAACAATATTCCTGCCTCTCAGGCTGAGCAGTCCTGAGCCACACACAGAACCTCATGCCTCAGCACCATAGTGAAGTCAGGCCCACATTTCTGTGAATATGCCTTCTGTCTCTGAACATCCTCATCACCTAAGGAGCAGGAGATAGCACAAGGGGCTAATACCTCCTGGGAGAGGTAAAGAATAGAGCACCTTGTTCTTCTCATGACATTGGAGGACTCTGTGTAGTCATGGTCACTTGCACAGTTAGGGAAATCCCCCTCAATGTAACAGAGACATCATGAAAAGCTGAGGCTAGTGGACACTGCATAAACTCAGTGCAAATCCCTGTGTCATAAGTGCCTAAAAAGCAAGCTTTTGCACCCCCTGCAGGGTGTTTTCTTATATTGAAAAGCAGTAATGCACAGACTCTAGCACTAGTCTGCAGGGTCTGTCACTGAGCTATGATCCTCTGTATGGAGACATCTAGGAGACATGAAAAGACCAGCATCTATAGTCTGTCAGTGGGGGCAAGGGGCTTTCCTGAAACGTTATGGCATTTGTCAAAACGATGACACTTCTTACGTAAAGTTTATTTTCATATGCCTGCATGGTACCTGTCTGCCTAGCTAACTGCCCCTTTTCCTCACAGTTTGCTGCACAACTCAGAACACACCAGCATTACACCAAGTCAACTATATGATTGCACCCAGTCTTCCTGTCATGCAGAAGAGATGGTTAGGAATTGCCCCAGAAAGGGGAAGTGCCACCTCCATTGTGCCTGGGACACCTTGTGCCACCTACAATAATGTCATGTTAGTTCAGGTGTCCACTGCAAGAACCTCCTGGGACTCCTGTGATGACATTTGTGGCATTTGCAATTAAAGCAATTCCTTCCACCCTTTAGATTCTAGCCAAAAGCAAACACTTGCATAGTCTAGGTATGAGGCTGGTCTAAGGTGGAAATTTATCACCTACTGCTTCACGGGTAAAAGGAATTTCCCCGCAAAAAGGCTGGGGCCAAGCCAGCTCTAAGCTCAGCCTCAAGCATAAGTGTTTCTGTAGTTTACAATAGCAACAATAAGAGCACAGTGCTTTGTGTCGACGAGTGCACACCAAACACAGCCTCCCACCACTGGCTGCCACGCTTACTACTCCTTGCCCAGACTATCCTAGCAGATAGACATAAGGTCAGACAGCATTTATCAAATCCACCATTTTTGTACTTACTGTTCTGTCCCATATAAAAGCCTTTGGAAATCACATGCTGCCTATGAGCTATCTCTGTAACATCCACCTGGACTTTGAAATCTGCCAGGAGTTCAGTCATGTCCACGGTGCACATGTACTGTGTGTGGCTGGTGTTCCTGGACAATTGCAGGAGATTGCAGGCAGCCACAGTATTTTCGGGATCTTCCTCAGAAACCCTAAAACCACCAAAACAAACAAACAAGTCCACATCTACTACATGCTGTAGCTGGACTAATCTGTTGCTGAACCACCAGGCACAGACATTAATAAGAAAAAAAGAGGCAACATGGTCAAATAAAAATTTAGCTTTGAACTTTGACAGATTCCCCCTCCCCCATTCTATTTGCTCAGCTTAACATCTTTGAGAGAAGTAGGAAAGTGATGCTGAAGTGTTTGTGGAAAGGAAAGGTGATCATCAGGGCTGTACAGCCCAGAATTGCACCCACTTCCTCACTGGGGCAGAACAGCAGCCATACGAGGCTTGGACAAGCTGCGTGAGCCCTGCCAGCACATGAGTGAAAGTCTATTGTTAACAGCAGCAAAGGGCAAGGTGTTCCCAGTGCAGGAAAGAAAACAATGCCAAGGAAGCCAGAGTCAGTGTAGCAGTCAGAGGCAAGCAGTGCAGTCATTGGACACAGGAACCAGGGATCCTTTGCTAGGGGAGAAGCCAGCTGATAACTGGAGTGTGAAGTACCAAGTAAAAAACAGCACAGCAGCAAGAACAAGAATTCTGCCTAACAAAAAGGACAGAAGGACGCTGCTGTGCTATGGCCATGTTAAAAGTTCCTGCTGCTGCATTTTGCTCATCCTACTGAGACATACCATGTTGCAGTGAGGTTATATGAACTGGCATCCCAGTCATTTCTCAGGATACAGGACAGGGTCTGTACATAGTCCACAAAACAAGTGAGGTTTTCACAACGCGTAGCTGTAGGTTTGGAAAGAGAAAACACAATATCAACTTCATGATGAAGCAAGCGGGATCTTATATCAACACACACAGTCCTCAGGGCTCCCACTAAATCTGAAGGGAACAGACCACTCTGTGCCAGCGCCCTGCAAAGTCGCCAGTCTTGGAACATAAGGTGCGTTCCATCTCTACAGGGAGGCAAGTCATTGAAGCAAGATAAGTGTCAAACAAAAACCTATTAAAAAAATTCTGTGGCAGCAAATGGCATGCCAAAATACCAGGAAATGCCCAAATTGTGACTGAGTTTTCAAACTTATCTCTGTCCCCTCTTACACAGTCACTACAGCAGAGTCACATATTATTTCTGCAAGAGTCTTAGCTTATGTAGCACATAAAAAGAGGCATGATTACCCAATCAGAAACAGCAGCATATTCAAACATTTTAATGATACCACTTCCTAAATTGAGTGCTGTTCTTTGCTAGTCATTTTCTTTACGACATCCATGCAGTACTTTGCACATGTAAAAATAAAAAGTGGTATTTTAGTAATTCTCTCTCTACCATTCTCTCTGCATACTATTTTCTACAGCTTGATATCTGCAGCATCAATACTTTTCATGTCCTGCTCCAGAGGCTCAGAACACACTTTCATGGAATTTTGGCAAAAAAAATATTGCAGGTTTGTAGTTACTATAATTTCCATAAATCATTCTCATACTAAAGTGACAGGCACAATTTATTAATCACTTAAACTGAAACAGACTTCTAAAGAGAACTTGAGAGGCAATTGTAGACTTTATGCTGGTCATTAAGAAAATTAGCTAATTTGAAAGTGGTGACAAAGCAGCATTTATGCTCTTCTAATTGTTCTGCAGGAGCTCTGCTCACATATTAGGAGCTGATATGCACTGTACAAAAGCACTGTTGTTCTGTGCATAACACACTTAAGTTATCTCCCTGGATTTCAAGGCAGGGAAGATGGCAGTACAGTGAGAAATGTCTGCATTTGTAAGTCCTTTTCTGACAGCATCTTGGGCTGACAAGAGCCACTACTACTACCTAGGAGTAACTGAGTGAGGAAAGGCCTGTAGGAGATGCAGCATGCCATGCTGGTGCAAACCATGCCTACTGTAGCAACTATTCATCTCTTGCATGGACAATATCACCCCTTTTTGATGGGAATAAAATTGTCATCATCTAGGGGAAGATCTCAAGGTTGTTACATCCATTTAAATCAAGCATGGGTCCTCCCCTACCAGCAGGGCTGCCCCCAGCCTGATGGGAACATGTTACTTCACAGCCATCAGGCACCCAAATCCTCTGATGCTAACCGTTTTGCAAGTTCACCTCCCTTTTGTCATTCTGCTGCTTGCCTGGTTAGAGAAGCTGCACTCCCTGCTTCCTACCTTCCCTTTGTTGAACATGCTTTGCGTTCAGAAGAGTTGCTTGCCTAAGATGAAAGCAGACATACTTGATACGCTCAACAACCACAAAGCCCGATTTTACAGTTGAAGAGAATGCTGTAGAGAACAATCAAAATGGAATGCAGCCAAAGTCTGTATTGATGAACCAGAAACATCTGTTCCACCCTCCAGATCAAATTACAGCCCTCACAAGCAAGTTGTCTCTGCATTTACAGTCACAATGCACAGCAGGCATGTCCAGTGAAGGCTGCAGCCTAATTCTAGGCCAGAGTAAGTTCAACTTTTCCCACTGACTTCACTCATCGCAAAAGTTTCTTCCTAGTCCTGTTGCATCAGAACACACACTGCTCTCCCTACATGAACTCTGGGCAGCACTCCGATTTATGTCCAAGACCCAGTGCTGCCACCCCCCCCTCCCCCCAAGAGTCAGGATGGCAACAGAAGAAATTTGGGGATGCTTGCAACAGACCAGCCCCAAGCGTGTATATATGCTTTATTAAACTGTGATTCAAATTATGTGGTTGTCACTTTGTTTCATTTTGACTTTTTCATTTCACACTGACTTCAGAATTTTGTTCTAAAATTTTCATTAAGTTTTAACTTTTCATTTTGAGCCCTCAATAGGCTCTTCTAGAGGGCCCTGGTACAAACACTGTTTGTTCCAGAGTCCTGAACAAGATACTTTTTCTCCCTTAGCCTAACTTTACTCTCCTACAGGGTTATAAACCCCTTGCTTTCCTTTAGGTAGGGCAGCAAGTATTAATAAGCATTGCTAACTAACATTCTCCTGTGCTACTATGTTAATCAATCAAATGGACTACTATTCCTAGGTAGTTGGTAAGCTGCAAGTGTATCTTTGGGCAAGAACCTGTTAACAAAAAATTAAGAAGAGGACAGTTTTTTTCTGGGAAGGGAATAATTAAGTGTCCTAAACCCAGTTAGATCTAGGATGAATTGTTCATCCTTGGCAGCTTCAGAAACAAAAATCAAATACTTTTAACAGTAAGATCTAGTTTGGTCCAAACTGAAATTAGTACAAGGTAATTCCCTGTCTTGTGTTACACAAAATTCAGATCAGACATCACAATGGTCCTGTATGGCAGGAAGATATAACTCTGAATTTATCTTTTCTGCTAATTTAGGTTTGGAGCAGGTCCAATGCTCTGCCTAGAAGCAGCATCTAAAATGCTAAACTTGCACCTGTTCCCTGCAGACACTGTTGTCACTGTCTTTTTCTGTCTAGCTGACCTGTTCAGAAAGTCAGCTCTGAGTCAGCTGAAGCTTGCATGGTGGGTAGGAACCAGCAAGAAAGGGGGACTGACTGTCTGCACAGTGCCATCCTGAGCAAAGGGGCTTAGACCAGGAGAGGTTCACTCCAGTGTCCCTGGCTGGCCTGCCAATAGTGACCATAAGCCCTGGGGATATCCTGGTCTTGGCCACCAGAACCTTTCCTTTGGCAAAGTTTGTTTTTTGGGGGGTGGGAAATCCTACTCTAACATCAACAGGAGATATTTCAATGCAAGGCAGGCTCTACCTCTGCACTCTCCCCACTGGGGCTGCTCCCTGGAGTGGTATGCGGTCTGGCTGAGCTCTGCACCTTCTTGTGTCTGTCCTCCACTGCCCATGGAGCCTCTTCTATAACTCATCCCAGGGAACTGTCTCCCCGGTACCCTATCTTGTGCTTGCTGTCCCATGGCAACCTTGTGCCATGCACATCTCCACAGAGCCTGCATCAATGGCCACCAAGATAAATCCTGTGGGTGTACAGCCCAAAAGAGATATCTGGGAACTTACTGTACTGGAATAAAAGGAAGAAGGAAATACTCTGGAGCCACAGGTTGTTCCTCATGTTGGTTCTGACTGGATGTCCTGGGCAGGGGGGAAAAAAAACAAAACAAAACACAAACCCAAACATTAAGAAAAAAATAAACAATTGAAAATTCAGCTCAGTCATCAACTCATATGTTGAGGGTTGAGGTGGAATTAATCTTGCTTTCATTTAAACATCTAAAAGTAAAGTGCCTAATTTAGGCAAGTCATCTCAGCTCTCCTGTGTGTACCTACTCCATGGGCTAAGGGGAAGGATGACTAACAGCCCTGCCAGCTGGCCATAAACCAGGTCACTGAAATCTCTGCTCCTTGCCAGCAGCATGTGCACAGAGAAAGCAAAGTGACTGCAGCCTCAGTCCATCCATGCAACAGGAAGACACTTGGGGTAAGTGCTAACCCATTTTTTATTCATCAGTTTCCTGCAACTAGAAATGGCTTGCAACTAGGAGAAGTAACATTGCTGTGGCTTAGACATCTGTACAGTGAGTTAGTCAAATAGAGTCTGAATGTCACTGTGGGTCTGTATGAGCAAGGCTTGTGAGAACTCATTGATTTGGCCTACCCATGGTTAAGTAAGTATGGAATATAGTTAAGGGACTCCAGGAAGGCAGACCAGACAAAAAAATAACAGCCTCCCACATGGCACAGAAGAGAATGATGTACAGCAGTCACTTCTGGGGAAGGCTGTACTGGTGAAGAGAACCTACAGGAAAGCCTTCAGAGAAGAGGACAGCAGGATGTTTACAACAATATGAGGAAACAGCATGACATACAAATGACTGTTCAGCCCACAGCCCCTGCTCCAAGACCAGGACCTCAAGGCACATAACACATTAAGTCTGTGTTTTCACAGTATTTGACATTTATAGAAACACACAGATGTGCACAGAAAGACTTAAAATGAGCTCCCTGCAGAGTATTGGCTGTTGATACCCATTGGTACAGATTTCAGCACTGTTTTCTCAAGCTATTCTGAAATGGCCTAGGCTGCCTGGGGACAAGTCTTTGGAGAAACAAGCTGTGTTATTTTTGCGACATACTTGTGTTGGCAGTAAGTTGCAAGGAGGCACAGAGAGCAGGGAAGGCCCATATACCATACTACAGAGCAGCAGCGTTGTCAGTGACTGGACACAGAGGAGTGTCTCTGTAGAGACCCAGAACTCTGCAACCCCCCCTGCACTAGGTTGCAGAGACACCTGTGAAAGTGATATGGGTGAAGACTGGGCAACAAGCTGCAGCCACCAAAAGATACCCAGAGCTCCTGGGAGGGCCTGGTACAGGTCATAGAATCATTTGGGTTGGAAGGGACCTTTAAAGGTCTTCTAGTCCAACCCCCCCCTGCAATGAACAGGAATATCTTCAACTAGATCAGGTTGCTCAGAGCCCCATCCAGCCTCCACGGATGGGGCATCTACCACATTTCTGGGCAACCTGTGCCAGTGTCTCGCCACCCTCACAGTAAAGAATTTCTTCCTTATACCTAGTCTGAGTCTACCCTCTTCTAGTTTAAAACCATTACCTCTTGTCCTATTGCTACAGGCCCTACTAAAAACTTTGTCCTCATCTTTCTTATGAGACCCCTTTAAGTACTGAAAGGCCACAGTAAGGTCTCCCCAGAGCTTTCTCTTCTCCAGGCTGAACAACCCCAACTCTCTCAGCCTTTCTTCATAGCAGAGGTGTTCCAGCCCTCTGATCATCTTTGTGGCCTCCTCTGGACCCTTTCCAATGGGTCCACGTCTCTCCTGTGCTGAGGACCCCAGAGCTGGATGCAGTACTCCAGGTGGGGTCTCACCAGAGCGCAGCAGAGGGGCAGAATCCCCTCCCTCAACCTGCTGGCCACACTGCTTTTGATGCAGCCCAGGATATGGTTGGCTTTCTGGGCTGCGAGTACACATTGCCAGCTCACATCCAGCTTTTCATCCACCAGTACCCCCAAGTCCTTCTTGGCAGGGCTGCTCTTAATCCCTTCATCCCCCAGTCTGTAGTGATACTGGGGGTTGCCCTGACCCAGGGGCAGGACCCAGGTCCTGGAGTGCCTGTGCCTCCCCCACCACCAGCAGCAAACAGTCAGTCAGCAGAGAGAATGCCAGTGAGGCCTCTCCCACTTGGGGAACGTTTGTGGTATTTAAAAATTTCCCAGGTTTACTCAAATAATGAAAGCAAAATAAATTTAGCAGCCACCAAAAAGCCCCTGCAGCCCCACATGAGCTCAGAGACTTGCTCTCAAGGCACCACAGTGTGCAGATGAGATCAGCAAGGTTCACTCAGGAGGTGCCACAAACACTTCATGGCTGCAGCACCTCAGTCCTGTGGTGAGAGCAGCCATGTTGCTGCTGCCCCTCCTTTCCTGCCAAACGTATCCTGCACATGAAGCACATGTACCAGCTCATTAAGGAGCCCCAGGCTTATTACTTACCCTGCTAGTATCCCTTGCCTGCTGCGAGTGGCAGGAAGAAACTCTCTCCCCACACTCCAGCCCTTCTTTCTGCATCATACATTTCCTTGAGGAAACATCTTTTCTTGACCCCTCTAGTCCCAGTTCTCCAAGTTTTCTCTGTATAATAACTATTGTCATTACCACTATTTCTGGTGGTGCAGTCCCTGATTACTAAGACACAGTCCACTGTCTAACCCCACCTTGTGGTCCCACTCATCCTTCCACTGCTCTGCTCCAAATTCTCCTTCCTTTGAGGAAGGCACCCTGTTATCCTGCCATCTGAAGCCTGCTCACCTGACTTCATGCTAAGACTGGCTGCACCATGAAGACAGATGCCATCAAGATGGGCAGTCTCCTGATGCAGCATCTGCTCGTGACTTCCTAGCAGAGGCACCTGTTCCTTGCAGCCAAATGAACTGGCCACTAGCCCTAGAGACATGATACATGTGATGGTCCACTGCCTTTTTAAATTGTCCTTCTCCCTGCGAAATACCTAGAACTTATTGTTGCTGGGCTCAGAATATTCAGGGGTCCCCCAGCTTAGCATGCCAACAACCTGTCCAAACAGGCCTGTTCCTACTCTGAAAGAGCACACAGTCCCCAGGGTTGCTGCTGTTCTTCCTCAGGCCTTCATGCCCTCTCACTGACTGTAACCCAGCACACACTCTGAACTGCAGGACAGACTAGTGCCATCTAGTACTGTGCCCAGCTGCAGAAGCCCATCTCAGCATCACTTTGCTTTGTGACTGTCACACTCCACAGTCTTGGCCACCCTGTAAGGCCAAGAAAGGCAACTTGCTGCCTCTTCTTCAGAAAAGGAAGGAAGGGCTGGGCCCTCAGAGAGCTCTGCAGACCCACTGCTTGTTTCAGAATCCAACTGGCAGTGCCCCCAGTGTTTTATGTTCATGATATTTCTGTAGCTCCCTCATTTTACCCCCATTCCTGCCTAAATGGACAGAGCAATGCAAGGGAAGTCTTTGCTGCTTTTAGCTACTGGACTGTGGTTTCTTTACAGTGCCTTCCCCGTTTTCCTTCCTCTGCTCAGAGAATAGTACCATCAATCCAATGGGACAGGAAAGACTGAAAAGGAAAAAGCCAAAGCAACAAGCCCAAGCAGCTCATCAGGAAGATGTCTTATGGAGGTATCAGAGGCTCCCATTACGCACTGGAGAGAGGTTAACATCCAAGGTTGCAATCTAGAAGGAAACTTCCTGAATAAAAGCACAGTAGCAAAAATAAGAGAGAAAAGCAGTAGGATCTGCTAACACAGGTGAAGCAATGAGAAAATACTTCCTCACTTGGGACTCCACTGCCCCATCTCTTACCCTTGCCAGTGCCCACAGAATAGTCCAACGCTTATCTCCTTCACTTCTTACACAGTTCTCCTACCTCAGTGTCATGGGGAAGGACTGCTACCTTTGAGAGCGTCAGTGCTATGTGTGTCTGACCTCCTGGCTGTGCTTCAGGTTGTTATGACAAGACATGGATGTGTGTGTGCAGAAGAGCTAGGAAAGATGCAGCTCTGCAGCAGTGTCTCTGTGGTCTTTGATGGCTGGAAGACCTCGTGGCTTCACAGAGATGTACAGCAGACCCTGTTCTGAAGCTTCCTCCAGTCAGGTGCTCTGCAAGCTTCAATCCCAGTCTATGATTAAGATCCCCACCTTTCCTACATCCCTCCATTTATTACACCCTTCCCATTTGCTTCCATCTGTCAGCACCCTGCTCATGTGATTGTTCACTTGGAGGGAAGAATGGCAGCAGGCAATGAGCAGAGGCAGGAACTTATTCCCTGTCTGGCAGTAGAAAAGTCATAGAATGGTTTGGGTTGGAAGTGACCTTAAAGATCATCTAGTTCCAACCCCCCTGCCACGGACAGGGACACCTTCCACTAGACCAGGTTGCTCAAAGCCCCATCCAACCAGGCCTTGAGTCCTTTCTACCACCTCATTTCAATTTCTCTGTCTGTGAAATGGGGGCTCTGAGACAGCTTCATGCATCCTTGAAACACAGTTACTTAATTCTTAAAAAATGTCAAGCATTGTACAGCTGCTAAGCACCATTGCTGCAAACTCTGTAGTATCCTAGGGAACAGTGTGCAAGAGCGCAGTAATAAAGCTGATTAGCCATTCATATAGGTGTGCACATGTAAATGATGCTACAAGGTTTTAATATACAGAGAATAGGAAATAGGACCAATACAGACACAGCCATTTACAAAGATTATTTTTGTTAATGATCTGGAAATATAGTGCTATATGCTGCCAAAGATGGATGCAGTCTAAGCTCACAATTTGTAGTGTCTCCAGGAAATACATGCACTTACAAAACTTCCACAAAAAAAAAAAAAAAAACAAAAAACCAAAAAAATGACTAACTAAAGAACTCAGTTTAATTAAAAAAAAAAATCTGGTATTTCCAAGCATGAGAAAATAAATGTCATAGCTACACCCAAGCTAAAAAGAGTGGAAGTCTCTCAGTCCACCAGTTATATGCAAACACAAGCTTTCTTCTTGAAAAAAAAAAAAAATCATTATCAATGTACACTGCCATCTAATAACAAAGCTAAAGCAACAGGGAGACAG